AATTACAATATATACAAGAGCCAGGGTCTCCTTCTTTCACCATGTTCGCTCGAGCGTGGGCCAAGAATAATAGCTGAAAAGCGGGCTGAGGATCTCAATTTTTTACAGCGGTGCGAAGGGGTTAATACTCAATGCACCATAGAGAGAAACCAATTCCTCAGGTAAGTGCATAACAGTAGCATGTCCAGGTCTTGACGGGAAGGAACATGGAATTTCTTTTTCTGAAAATGACTGTCTAATTTTTATCCTTAAAAGAATCAAAAGTCCCCTCCTCCACAAGAAAGGTGGCAATACCATTTCTATAGACTACCGAAATGAATACGCTATGTGCACAATTATGTGTGTTAAAGAGGTAATGCACGAACCAGCATGAGAACCAACATGTGTGCGTACTCCATTCATTTGCACAATACCTTCCGGTTCAAAATGGCATCACACTTCGCGACTCTGTGATGCTGGTGTTTTTATTTCCTTGAAAAATGGTCAGCATGCCTCCATTGGGGCAACTTGTGCTCTTTCAGCAATTTTCTGGCTAAATTAACATTAAACATTAAACAAAGAAGGGACATGTATACAAAAATGACAGAGGTCTGTGACCAGTTAGTGCCCTCTGCATAGCCAGTTGAGATGTTGTCTTCTTTACATGTAGCAACGAAACACCAATCAGTCGTCTCCAACCTACAGAAGTAGCCTGGCGGCTAATGTAGCCACCAAGCTTTGACAGTCTGGCTGCTAAGTTGAAAGTTTTGGGTGCTGCCTTTACATGCTTGAATATTTCAACTTGTTCAGGATGATCTTAATGGAAAAAAGCTGTGTATGATTGCTTCCACTTCCACAGATAGCAAATATAGCAAGAAATAAACTGGATTTTTGACAAGGTCTCTTATCAATCCTTCCAAAGCAAGTTTAAAGATTACAAGTCGGAGAAGACTACTGATATTCTGAAATTTGGGCAGGTCTTATTAGTTTTGGAACTGAACCAAATGCACGAAATGAAAGCTGTCCAATGAAACTTCAAGGAAAAGGAATAAGAAAGGTGAGATAGCTCATATTCCAGAAAGATAAAAATATATGGCAAACTAATCACCAACAAAAGTAAAGGGAAAAATAGCATCTTTTAGGAAACATACCAGCTTGACGTCAGCACAAATGTTCAAAGCTTTACAATTTTAATCACCCATCGCTCAATTTCAACCTTCACCATTTTTCTCAAGGAGCGTGAATAGTACATCTGGTCAATAGTAATTGCTAATTTGGGTAATTCCAGAAAATTAGGGGTCGAAAAGTATGATATTTTTCGTTTCCCTGATACATTTGACCTTTGTTATTTGACATGAAAATATCACTGGAATTGATTTCAATCTATTACTACTTGTTTGGCAGGTACTTTGCATAAATTCATCACTCTTGGAAATTAAAAAATGTGTTATGAACCTACAAAATCATATGTCAGATGTGACAGGGACACACAAAAAATGTGGACCTCTATCTTCTGGAAGTATCCACTTTCCTTTCTGCCAAGCTTTAGAATGTAAGTACATGCAATGGAGAGAAACTCCCAGGCATAACGTGAACAGCTAGAATCCCAAGGAAAGCTTTCCGGCCCAATGGAAGCCCACCGTTGACAGTCCAAAGACAGAAAGACAATTACCTATGTTGAGCCAAGCAGGATAGAGTGCACCCATATTACACAACCCTCTGATTTGATACCATACCATGGTGTATACAAAACTGCAAATGTAATATTTATGACCAACTCAGTGAATATGAATCAAAGGAACAAATGTGCATATTTGTGGCTTGCTGAGAATTCTACAATGAAAACAGATTCAGTTTCAAATTTTTTTTGGTTTTATGCAAGAAGCATTATGTTTAAAACATCTGTGTAAAGACTAAAACCAGAAGACTTTTCTCTACATTTGGTTGTAAAAGTTTAATTTCTTGGATTGTATTCTACAACAGTAGAGAAGAAAATAGTTGAAAAAAGTCTCGCAAAACTACAACGAAAACATGCAAAATTGTAGCACGTATCATATTCTTCAACTCATGATTTATGTTTGGAGACGTTTTCACAGACCACGCAGGCCCCATACTGAGCGAGTGCAGGGATACTTTTAGCTACATTTCTATGAAAACATAAAGAACCAATTCTTTTGAGCAATTTGCCTGTCTCATATTCCAAAGGGCATTTTAAAAAAAAGCAGCGTAATGCATAAAGAAACAATGCACCAAGATTTCCAGAAAGCCAGAATCAAGCAGTGTTGCAGTGCTGGTACTCATTTTTTACACTCACTATGAGTAACCATTTTGCAACTCATACTCATTCAAATGGACTCAGCTATGCTTAAAGCACTCTAGTACTTAAATGAAATGGTGCTCAGTTGGTGTACCGGTAATACTTTTCTTGTACTTGAACCCTTCTTATCAAAATATACACCACTTGGCACTCACTGTCACATGTATGAGTATTCATATACACACTCACTAAAGAGTACTCAACTGCAACACTGGCCTAAAGACACACGCACAGGAAAGTACTATAATCCTTATGATGAAGCAAGCCCTTAGAGTTTTTAGCAAGTCACCTCAAGAGAACATGCATCTAGTACAGTATGTGTCCATACCAGTGTCAAAAGTATGTCCAGATTGGAAAAAGGATTTCATTATTTGTAAAAAGGGATGGGGTTGCAGACGTGCCCATTTGAGTCTTGTCTACAAAGGAAAATGTTCCTCATTCCCACTGTCTGGATGATTTCACTTTTCATTAAAAGTCTTCGCTCTGCATGGTGCAATAAACCGTAACCCAAAAGTCACAAACCTTTTCACTTCCAGGCAACAAACCTTTGTCATTTTGTTCACTTAAAATCATGGTGGAAAAAACCCATTACCACAAAGGTTTCTTTGATGTGTACACCAGATACTAAAGAGCTGGCAAAAAGTTTGGATCACAATATGCAGGGCATGCTTTTAACTGTGATCCAATGACCCATGCAAACTGGAAAAAAAAGGAAAAAAAGAAAGCCAACACAAAACCAAGAAACCTGAAGAGTCCAATAGAAAATTGTGTATGTGTACCTGGGGCACCCGGCAGAGCATGGGCTGCTTTGTGAATTGTGGCGGCCTCTACTATTTTATTGCATGAAAACAAAGGGAAAAAATCATCGGATTAAATTGGGCTGGTTTGTGGGATGATTTGTTGAAAGCTCTTTTCAATTTCAAATCATTGGGTAAGCCTGATAAACAGCTCACCATTGTTATTTTGTGAAAACAAGCCTTAAAATGCAATGTCTGCTTCCCTCTCTTTTGGGCTTTTTAAAAAGTTGTTCCTGTCATATCTGGCTACAAACACTACTCCTCCTGCAAACTGTGTCTTCTTCTGTGATGTAAAATGCAATCATTTATTAGCCAGCACAAAGGAAATCAATCAAAATTGAAACTGAATTTCAACCTCAAGCTTAGAAATCAAGTGCATACTTCTCTTAGGGTCATTTTTTTTGGTGGGCATGCTGACATCTGCTGCCACATTTATTATGTCAGTTTAAATAAGGTTGACATGTCTTCTTGCAGTCAACATTCAAAAAGTAAGGCCATTTTGCATACAGATAGCCATAAATCTTGTTTGTGTTTGATATTTGTCAAAACCTGCTCTAAAACTATCAAATGCTGACCAAATAAATCACATCTCTTATCACAAATGTTATCTTACCATTCCCAAGAACATTTCTTCTTTTTTTTTAAGAATTTATATATGCAAGGGTACCATTATCTTTGCTGAATGTACATTTCCTTTATGGTTTGATACTGCATATAATGCAATAGTAGCTTGACTTTTTTTCCCTATTCTGCTGGCAAGTGACAAGTTCCCATGTTGAAGTTTTAAAAAGCTCACCCTCCCAATCCCATGCTTAGTGGAGCAACATTTGGGTCTGAACATCATCCAAAAGACAAAGACATACAAACAGTAATTCCTCCCACAGTTTTTGACAAGAGCTAATAATGATCAAATCAAACATTTTACATGGCTTTCTATGCTTCCCCTATTAAGATTCGGAGGCAACGCGAGTGGTGCTTTGGTTCTTTAGAAGATAATTTGGGGCAACAGGCTTTATTTAAAAGTCGGCCATTTTGCATCATGCCTCCCCACTCTACTTCAATCATTGAACATTATGAAATGGGAGAAGCCTGATGACTGTGTGCTACAATGTTTTTTTTTGTTAACATGGAAAATACGCGTGACCTGACTTTTTATGCATAATATGGAATCACCCACTGGAGCACAAAGATGGTACTCCATAATTTACCCCTATTTCCACATATATTACTGGGAACTGTTTCAGAAATTTATTCAGCTCAACTCCCTTTTGATTCAAAATGGATGACCCATGAACCTGAGGCCAATTTTATATGTGACACATACATGTGTAAGTTGTAACAAGCCATTACTGTCTATTCTCTAAAGGAGATCCAAAGCCATCTAGCATCCTGACAAGAACAAATTGGCCTTGAAAATTGACAGAATGATAAGACAGACCCAACTTACTTGATGCACTGCGGCAGATGAATAGAGGAGCTGCTCTCTTCCAATGATGGATCCAACAAACCATTGTAATGTAAGTTATCAATGCACTGAAGGGCAAGGAGAAAACAATTGAGAGACCGAAACCTCTGAGAGTAAATGCTAAATCTACAATGTGGGTGCGTCCAGGCAAATCTGTCTTCATGAGCTACTGACAAATTTAAAGAATGTCCGAAAAATTCAAAATATAATCACAGTCTGGTTGTTTCTATAATCAAATGAGACTGTACTGCAGAGAGTCACTTTTTACATATACATGTACATGTACTGGCAGGAAAACCTATTGCAACATTTTACATTAGAATTTGCAGTTGCCATGCAAATGATGTTATTTACTGGTCAGTTAAAATGCATGGAATTCTTTCAAAACACAAAGTAAGGAAGTATCCAAGTTAAAAAACCTCTATTAAGTCATGTAATGATTTTGGAGAGACGAATGGGGAAAGTAATGCACAGGTCAGGCATAAAATTTGCTGAAAACTACTTCACCAGAGCTACAAAACGTAAAGTAAAAAAAAAACCATAACATACGTCACAGCTGAGTAATACGTATAGAGAGATGAGAGAAACAAGTACCTGACTGATGTCACTTGTCCATGCCGCCTTGTCTTGATGGGACGGCGCCACCAAGGTGACGACTAACGGAGGTCCACTCTTGGAATCCACAATCAGCTTAAAGTCCAGATTGTCGTAGTCTGACTGGTTGGGTTGGTTGGCTGTGTGCATGCAGAGACCAACAGGTAGAGAAGCAATCTTTGAGGTCAACTACTTCAGATTTCCTCAGCGCAAAAACGTCACCATGCCATCAGAAAAATTGTGTGCATATAGTATTTAACATTATACAATTTAACTGTAAACAAAAGCGTCACAAATGGTAAAGAATAGGTGGATGGGCGCATACACGTAAAACAAAAACTGCAGATTTTCCTTTGTAAGTGCTTCAATAAGAGTAAATTAATACCTTGAAGATTAGATATAAAAAAAAATTACACAAAACGAGATAAATCGATTAATTACACAAACAACCAATGAACAAATTGATAAGCATAATCAAATGTATGTGATAAACAGGTGTTTCTTTAATTTTAGCTGAAGCCACCGGTAAAAGTCAAATGATTTCTTTTCAACATCCACCTAAAATTGGCTTGTGTTTCTCCACTCAAACCTTCCAGAAAGTTCATTTTCCCATTCTTGGCATCTTGACAACAATTCCACTTACACTCATCATCAAATGGGTCAAAATCCTCCACGATGGCCGTGTCAATCAGAGGGATTTTTCCTCCGACCTGTCCAATCAACACAAGACAAAAGAAAAAGCAAACTTAAAGTATCATTTTTTTGTTCAAAATACGAAACCCTTTTCTTTGCCAACTTGAGGTATTCTTAACTAAGACGCCGGATGTTTCTCAGCAAAAATTGTGAAAATGTGTTTCTATTGTGCACTTTGAGGTCTTTACGTCACATTAAGTACAATTGTAAACTATATACCCGGTAAATCTACTTGCAATTAACATATGTTAAGAATAATCATATTACATGAAATGTCACTTGTCTTTAGATGAGATTTCTAAGACCTTTCTGAGGACTGTATGTGTTACACTCAATGGGAGTAATGCATCTTCACTTCTTGACACTATCTGCTTGATGGGGTCATACAACAGACAGTAGTCTTCTTTTTCTCCCTCAAGGTTATTTCTGAAAACATGGCTTTTGTATATAACTGGCGTTGGCTTGATCTCAGGCCCTGGGACCAAATGTCGATATAGGCCAAAGCCATTTTGCTTATTAAATAAGCAAAGAAGAGAACATCTGATCCAGCAAAATCTACAAAAATGCTGTACTTTTCAGTGTACAAACCAAGGCAATAATCAAGGTTTTCTTCTTGGGATGACATCACAGTTTGCTCATGAATATGGAAATACTCATTGGCATAAAAACCAAAAAAAAGAAAAGACATAACAGAAACGTACCCTTTGAAATGGTGAAATAAAAGTTTAAAATTCATCTGAGACAAAAAGGTAAATTGAAAGGTTTGTTTAAAACAAATTCATTGCAGGTACAGTACATGTACCCTTTAAATCGACAGCATGCCCAAAAGACCAGATTAAGAAAAGGCCTCTGGAATCTGAGGAGTCCCTGGATGAAAAGGTAATTCCACTACTGGAAAAATTCATAGTTTGCTGGGCCAAGGCACACAGACTTTGCCTTTAAGGTACGAGTGACTATTCTCATTTAGGGGTTATTTGTCCTTATTTCTAAGCTGCAGAAAAAAAATCCACTCATAAAAGTCTGAGCGGGCTTCCCTGGCTGTTGGACTCTTGGCAACTCTTCCACGATTTATATGTATATACAGTTTACAAATTTTTAAACTTTAAATCATGAAACTTTTAAAGAGGAGCAAAACTAATCATTGAAATCAGTTGGATTTTAATGAAGCCTGTTCCTGTTCTGTCCAGGTTTCATTTTGCTGGTTATGCACAACTGTTTTTATCATGTAAAAAAGAGAAATAATGGTGAGGAATTATTCCCAAATAGTTCTCAATTGTACAATTTCAACATTGTTTTCCAACCCACGGATGGTTGCATTTACAACATTGTTCTTCCTTGGTCTAGTCCATAAAATAAAAGAAACTATAAGTGAGAGTTTTCAAGCTATTTTTGAAGGAGGATAAAAAGGAAAAAAATGTGGAAAGTTATCAAAATTAACCTGTCCTTTATTAGTTAAGTTGAGAATCATATCAATGTAATTTTATAAACAAATTTGTTTTATGTTGGTGCAATCAGCACAGATAACAATGGATATACGGACACCAATTTTTCCTCAATAAACATGAGGTTTTCTTCAAGCTTAACTAGACTTTTGCTTTACTCGATTTGTGAGCCCCCCCCCAAGAAATTCTGGGGAAAAAATGGATTTTCCAGGCTGCCTCAAGATTGCTAGGCAACTAAGTGACGGAGTGGCACAAATCCATGGCAACGGCTGGCACACCACATCTGATTTCAATATTACATGATCACGTTGGGCACGTACTGAAATTCAGTTAGGGTGGAGTCAACGAAAAAATCCAGGCCTGTACATTGCCAAATGCAAGCCAGGACGTGGCACAATTTTGTCAAACAGAAAACTGCCTTTACAAAAAAATCTCGAACCAAAACCTGACTGCAAAGAGATGAAACAATAACAAAATGTATCCACAATATGACCTGACATTAAGTAAGACAGCATCAGGAAAACTGCATTGACTTGACACTGCTCAACTCCAACTCTCTACAAGTACTTTGACCAGTTATCTTTGCTCTGTCTAACATCCCACTGTATTGAACTGACTGAGCTTGGAATTTAATTGCCATTTTCTCAAACACTACTATTACAATCGATGCATGTAATTCCAGTACCCCTCTCTAGTACATGGACTGGAAAGCATTTACTCTGCATTATCCAGTGAGGAAAGTATCTATTACAAGTCTGACTTTTTAGCTCAATTTGTGCTGACAATTCACAAATAAATGTCTGCCTCTCCAGTGTTGCACCATAGAGGAAGGACACAGGAGTTGCAACTGGAAAGCCAAGTTCATAAGTAACAAATGTGCTATTTCATCACATCATGAAATCTCATAAATACACTTTTGTGCAAATGACATAATAAAAATGATTCAAACAAAACACAAAATCTTGTAAACAACCAGGCTATTTATTCCCAAAATAACTCCAGAGGAGCTCATTAAGGGCAACGACTGCACATATAGATTTAGGGCACACAGCGTAATGCAAGCAACTGCGCAAACATTAAATTTGATGTTGTCATGAGATCATACAAGCACCAACAAATGCATGAACATTCAATTTCCTATACCTCGGTGCACAAAGTGTTAAGGATGTACACGTAGGTTACCAGTGACAAACTGCGGCGGTGATCATTGGGTACAAAGTGGTTTCGTGGTTATGAAACAGATGGTGCGTAGCAAGCGTTCACTGCACTCTGGCTATGGACATACTGTACAAGGCATGCCAGAAGGCAGTAATTGGCCAGATGTTACAACCCGGGCAGTTCAAACTCCTCCTGTGTCCTTCCTCTATGGTTGAACCCAGGACTGGTTGTGGGGGAGGAGGGGAGGTTCAGGCCCCCAAAGCAGCTCATGTGCGCAAGCCCTCCTCCCCCATTGTGCCACAAGGGACTGCGATTTACTGCTAAATCATAGGTAGTAGTTTAAGATGTATACTATATCTCTGCTTTTCAAAAAGAAAAACTCTTGGGGAAGGGGGTTCAAGCCGCTATAGTCCCCCCCTCCGGTGGACCACTATACCTCTCTGTACAAATTACATAGAAACAACACGGTTCCTGTTGCTCACCTTGGCCAGATGCAGCTTTCCTCCGGATGTTCTAGTGGTAATGAGCAGGTGCTTGGTGAAGAGGAAACACTGCCTTACCCCTTCCTTACGGGTCTCCACCTTTGCCCCCAGCGACCCTAGTCTGGTACGGCTGACCCTCGTCCTCTCCTGCATCACCTGCGTCAGTGTTCCTTCAAAGGAACAAGACCACAATGTACGTGTGCTGTATGTTAAAACCTGTACATTTATTTCAACTGTGGGTTTTGATCGCTTTTCTGATTTTGCCCAAAATATGATAGTCAAATCATCACCTTCAAACCCACTTTCAGTTACACATTCGTTTTGCACATATCTTTCCATTTTTCCATACTGAATGTTTCTCACCTGTGCAATTTATGGCAATTAGTAAATACTACGATGTTTTTAACCACCTTACAAAATGTCACCAGGCAAAAGGAAGGAGTTCAAATCTACATGTACCTTGCCTGACGAACATCTGCTGTACATCCAGCAGTATCTCGCAACCTTCCACGATCATCCGCTCTATGGAGAGATTCTTGCGGATGCTCTCAGTCTCTGACACCTCATCATGCATAACCTTAAGGAGACAGAGAGAAAAAAAAAGCACTATGATGATAACCTGGATGGATCAACAAACAATACACCTGATCCACGCTGCAGACTCTATTGACCAAAGACAAACAGAAACTTTCTGCAAGTACAGTGGCCTATTTATTGATGACACCGTGTAGGGTAGCTTAGTGATAAAACTACAGTAACTGGGGCACTTAACTTGCACCTGATCTGTCTCTACAGTAAGCTCTTACACAAATGGTGATGAAACATACTGCACTAAACATTGCAAAGACCAGAAGCCAGTCTTTATCTCTCCTATCTCCACTCATAAATACCTGGACAACTTGTCTGATTCTTTAGCCCAAATTCTGTAGTGACACACATTCATTCCTTACAAGAGCTCAAATAACTGTGCCACCCTCAATCCACCTCATCTGCTTCGATCGAATGTTCCCTCTCCTCTCTACTGTTATTATTTTGCCTCAATTATCAAGGGACTTGTGCTGTAATTGGAGTCATATCTTCTCCCTCCCACCTCTGTTGCCCACATCTACCACTCAGTCCTATTGCCTCCCCCTCCCCCTCTCCCTCCAGGCGGTCTCCAGTTCCCGGTCCTTCCCCTGCAATCTGTCCCGTCAGAGTCTGACAGCCGGCAGTGATAAGCCACCTGCGAGGCATTTCAAATATTACACTTGGCCCGGAAATTGCCAGGTGACGGGCAAGGCTCTCCGTGCCAACCACTGAGGAATTTTTTTCGATTCTCTAGGAGATTTTATGAGCAAGGAGCTCTTGGCAATCTCTGGGAGTAGGAAAATTGCAAAATGATGTGAAACGTTTCTGTATATAAAAGCAAACAGAGTCCCATACTTATTGATGCAAGGTGAGGTACACCAATCCGTTTTTATTCTAATTCAAGTTTTGTCAAGAAAAATTGACTTATCTGAACTCAACAAAACATTATGTGGCCCAACCTGATTGCATGATTCAGTTTATTGGGGAAATTTCTCTGGATAGACAGGAACTCAAACAATTCATGACGATGGAAAAACTAAACAAAAAACCTCAAGTCCCAATCCGTTTGCGGGATCTGGTTGCACATTTGCCTGTACTTGAGGATGGCGATGTTAGCATCCTCACTTTGCAATGTCACTTTGTTGCAACTTTAACTTGGCTCCTGGTGTTACTCATAACTCTAATGGAATAATATTGACCCCTCGGAACCATAGTACTTTATAAATCAACTTGAGACCAAAAGCCACATTGAAGGCTTGTCTCAACCAGAAGCCCACAGCAAACTATTCTTCAGGTGTAAACAAAAGGCAATACAAACTTGGTGCATTCACTTTGTGTGAAACTCATTTGTACCACGAACATAGTTTATTTTTTGGATTCCACAAAATGTCACTAAGTGTGAGCATCATCAATGTGAACAACGCAAAAAAGTTGTGATCTGTTTGATTATGTAGTGCCAAAAAGTATAAAACATTTCAAATGTACACAAGACAAGAAATATTTACAGATGGGAAACTCTTAATTTGCCAACAGTCAACCAATCAATTGGAAAAATAGAAAACTTGGAGTCAGAACTTGTAACTTGAAATTTGATCAGTCACTTTCCACATCATGCGGACAAGCATGCTACCTCCCAACATGTATTCATATAGCCATGCCAAGCGAACACTTGGCGACGGCTGCCAAATGCAAACACTGTAAAGGTGGCTGTGTTTTTGAATTCTTGAAAAGTCATGCTACAAAACTGTATAAACCACATCGGTGTGTTCAATTCTCTTCCCTAAAACATCTCTTATTTGTGTCCTTGAGGAGTGAAAACCCTACTGGTTGTTGGAAATTTTCAAGAGAATGGCAGCCATCTTGAAAAGAAAAAGAAAAAGGCCCGCCTCATTCATTTAACAGACCTGGACACTAAACAAACTTATTTTTGTGTGTGGCCTTAGGGCCTGGATTGCTAAGCCTCTTACCCTGGAGAGTTCCTCCAATTTGTTCTTTGCATATTCCAGGCTCTTTCGCTCCACGTGATCATGCGGCGTGTGGGCCAGCAGCTCGTGCAGGGTAATGATATATCTTGGCACCTTCGTACAGGTCAGGTGAAGTAAATGGAAAGAAAACAAGTCAGAAGGGGGTTAAATTAGATTAGGGGGTTTAAGTTAGGTTGGCTTTGGTCGAATGTCCTCACACAATTCCTTACTTGGAATTGGGTGTTAGGAACCTGACGATTTCATTTTCTTAGGTTTAATTTCCAACAAAACGGCAGAGACAAGTTTGAGGTGATTTTGATTGTCTGTCCAAGACTTCTCTTTGTTTTCACAGCAACAGACACCATCTACCGATAACAAGCTGGGCATTTTTCCTTTACCAGAGGCATGCATGTACAAACTACTGCAGAGATAGATGGGCCGTTTTCCAATACTCAACCTCGTCTCCGTCTCAGGCTTCGTGTAGGAAACCAATCCTCGATCGAGGGCCTGAAGTGTTTAACTTTTGAATTGAAATACTGTAATATTGAGCTCTTTTGCATCGTACCTGATGTTTTGTGGCACTATCAGACTTAGTATTGCGCTTATAACCTCAAAGTCAGGAAGTAAAAAAACAAACAGTTGAAGCCTGAGATGGAGTATTGGAAAATGGCCATGGTTGCATTATACATGTACCAGTATGTCCTCAGGTTGTGAAACAAATGAAGACTAAGGACTATTAATAATCAGAGAGCCTCTTTTCCTACAGATTCTTACAGGTATCGAGGTTCATTCCTTGGATGTGAATTCCATGGCAATACACCTTTTCACCCACGTGACTAAATGTAAACAATACCACAACGTGTGGACCGCCTTAGAAACGGTGATCGCATATATTCCCACAGGCAGCTTCAACCACGTCCAAGCGCATGTGCGAACGCTGCATGCTTGACTTCCCCTAGTTAATGTTGAATAGGTAGATTACCATCACAACACATCATAGGTCCAGCACGATCGTGACATCACTGGAAAAAGGTCTACACTGGTAACAATTTGACCATCCTTGTCACAAACACAGCATGTACTGTTTCTTCTGACACCCTTCCAAGACAATCGATGGCCCGCCAACCTCCAGAGTTTAGGAAAGCATACACAGGCTGAAACCCTTCACCTCCTGGTATTCATTTTATACACTCTTGAAAAGAATGAAAAGAAAATACCCCCCCCAATGGTTGCAATCTGTCTGTTTAAATACATGTATGGGATTTGACAATTATCATGCGTGAGCAGCACAGCAGAACTTTAAATACATGCACTGTACGGTGATTGATCAAAGAAGAGTCCCCTCAATTTCCTGAGAGATGAGCATTGCTTCATGAGACAAATACTCACCATGGTCAAAAATAGGGACTGACTCATGATGATGAATTAGTGTATACCACAGAGAGTGTGGCTCTCGATCATGAGTATGGTACATGTAATTGTTATATATTGCAAATATTACTCACCAAGACCAATGAAATATTACAATTAACATCCAATGACAGACCCAACAGTTACAATCAAGGAGGTGCCCAAAATTTACGAAATGAAGTAGTGCTCCGAACGGAGGTGAACAAGAATATAAATCATTTTAGTGAGAATTTCTAGATTTTAAAAGAATTAAAGGGACCCTGAAAGAGAAATATTTTACAAAAATCCTTGAAATTGCATCGTTGGATTTCAATTAACCTTATTTGAAATTTTGTGTTGCAATTTTAACCCATATTTTGGAGCTTTTTTGGTTTGTAAGCTAATGACATTTGCATATTCATAAGCCAAACTATGATGTCATCCAAGGAACTGAATCTCAATGTTGCACCGATTTGTGCACAGAAATATCTAGATATTTTGAACACTGCTATCGTAGATTTCATTTCCTTCGACAATTTACTGTTGTGTAACTATATGGCAATAAGCAAGCAAGCAACCTTTCGACAGAAATGTTTTCTGATAGCAAATTTGGAGTTCACACTTTGAACATGAAAACATGCAAAACTGAACCATGTCTTCCTGGATTTACATCAAAGCAAATGCGCCCTCACCTGTCCAGAAATGCCTGGCCAATTTTTAATGTCTAAAAATATACACAAAAAGTTCTTCTAAGAAAAATTCATTTCATGGATCCTTTACATAACCAGTCGAGGGCACAAGAAGAATAGGGAAAAAAAAGGAAAACAGAAAAAAAGAAGGGAAGGGGGTAGTTTGGCCTAGTACAAGCCCCTATGGATCTGCTACTGATATCCAGGAAACAATATCACCATGATCATACTTGATGCATGGGGTAGGTGAGAAACGTCTCCAGTGACCGGCCCTCACAGATGGGCTTGGACTCGTAGCACTTGAGCAGCTGGTTGAACATGGGGTTCTTCTGCTTACACTCCGCCAACACCTGCAGGCTGTAGTGGTGGTTGCGCACATACTCGTTGTAGATGCACAGCATGGGCAGCAGCATGTCGAACAGGTCCCCTGGTCAAGGAGAGCAGTGATGTATTAGGGAATAAGTACGTGGTCGGGATAATTAATTGTATGATTTTTTGTTCTAATAAATTTCTCCGCGGTTACATAAGAAAACAGCCCAGAACAAACATACTGCTAAAGATCTGTAAGAACAAATTTCCTCCTCCTTTGGTGTTGGTGAATTATTGCATTTTCCAAAGCCAGTGCTTTGTTGGAATATGGTAAATAAAATGGCAGCCAAAGAGCAAGATCCTGTTGTCAAATATACTCCATCAAGTTTTCCTTTGACTTCATGTACATTGTACATGTACTACAAAATGTCTGCAAATACACCTTTTGAGCCAAAGTAATGCAAATACATGTGTACAACTACGTCTTTCAGTGCACTCTGGGGAGGGGTGTGTTATACGGTAGGTACGCTACATGTACTGAATGTAGAATTGGACTGATTCATTTGGAACAAATTAAGTTCTCCACATCTAAACATAATTAAGGATAATTTTGACAAATTTCAATTCTCAGTGAAGCAAAATTAACCACCAGCATGTTGTCCATGTAAGATTGAGTCATCCATCAGCAGTTACTTACTGTTGCCATGGAATTAAGAGAGCGCCCTCACTAGATGCTGCACAGGGCAGATAGCCACAAGAAATGCTAAACTAGAAGCTTTCTAGCAGTACTGCATGGCATATCAACAGCATTTCAATTTAAAGTGCTAGCTGATAAATAAATATTAAAATGTCCCTCCACTTTACCGAGCACTAATTTGGGCCAATGTTCCATTCTTGCACTCAATCCCTTGTAGAATATCTGGTGCAGGAAAAACACAGTCTCGCTGGAAATACACAGAGGGAAATAAGAAAGAAATTCAAAAACTTGAAAATGAATCAAGCTGGTCGTCAGCCTCAACCAAAAACTCTGGTACATAACTACCGTCAGCTGAGGCACTCAATGGATAATGGGCCCTGGCCGGCATCATGTTGAAGGGGTGATTTCTTTTTAGTTGGGAAATGATTGAGCACACTGTCAGGAGTCTGATGTGATAACCCACACTGTCCACAGCCCAACCATGGTGCTTTTGGATATTATACCTTTGCAGCCAGGCTTGGGATGAAAATGTATGCATAAATAACTGTTTCAACTACATACAGCACAATGATACATTCTTTGTGCAACTTCTATGCTGCAGAGGCATTTTGCATTTGCTTGTGACCAACAAGAAGTATCGATGAACTCTCTCCTATTTCAAAACTGGGGGTTTAGGATGTTGTGATGGATGAGTCTCGTGTATGAGCCTGAATGACAGCGGATATTGGCCAATATTTGTTTCAAAAACACACTGGGAAAGGCACAAACTGCTTAGACATACATACATGAGTCACACATTACAAAGAACAAAAGATGGCAGGGAAGAGACAGACAAATATGGCCCTGTGAAGAAAAGCAAATTTAAAAAATCTTCAAGACAAACAGCCGCCTCAAACAGCCTAAATAAACACAGACTTGTTTAGTCTCATTTCAAGTAGAAGGTGAAGTCGTCTGTGCATTACACACTGCCCACACACACGGTACTGGGAGGCCTCTTGGTGAAAGTCTTCTGCAGAACAAGAGGCTCCAAAATATCACAAGAGGAGCAGTTGCTGCAATCGTGTGATGAAAACAAGGTTCAAGTGCCTGACAGGACAGCTACTGAATGCAAGATTACCACAGCAAGCCTAGTTGCCGTGATGGTTCTCTAGATCGGAGTGGCTCAAGTCAAAGTCCGCACTTCATTTAGATCCAAGACGTGTCACTTGTCAAGTCAAATGACAAATACATGTATCGGTACATGTACAATGTACATGTACTGAACAATGAAGTTTTACCAACAAGGGAACAGATAGCCACAAATGGAATACCTGTAGGTACATGTGCATGTACACGTATGCATGCACTTTGCAATTGAAGGTGGCTTTTTTATAACTTCAAATGTACATAAAAAACTGTAGATGTACCGGTACATGTATTTGGAAGTACTGGTACCCTGCAGCTACATGCACATGTACATAGACCTGAGAAAAGAATCTTTCAACAGATGCGTACATGTACGCGACTATGGACATGTACACTAAAAAATATAACATGCACACTGCCATATCAACAGAGCATAAATATACTCCCACATACATGTACATGTACATGAAGAAAAGAACTGTATTATCCATGTTCCTTTGGCTTTGATAGTGACTTCCTACAGTTTGCACTGATGGCACAGATAAAATGCAAAAAATGGCAAGAAATGAACTGAACTTAGGAAAGTGCATTTTTTGAAAATGAATAAATCCCTTGCTCAGGACTTCAACAGATAACTATTAAAAACCCAATAAAAAATGTCACTGTCCATTCATCAATACAGAATTTTCAAGGAATATTTCCGAGGCAGATGTCATTCACCTTATAATACTAAATTGGATCTAAATTGGATTCTCCATGGTAAAGTAGAGAGCTTTGAAATTGTTCATGTCACAGCAAGTACCACAGTGTTGAACCAACTTCATAGAGTGCCAAAGTGACTATGTCACGTGCACAATTAGTGTGTAAAAGGCATTAGCGCGAGAACCAGTGCGTGAACCAACACGCGCGCGTACTTCATTCGTTTGCACTGCACTTTCTGGTTCACAGTGATGTCACACTTCGGTACTCTATTACCATTTGTACATGTAATTCATAAAAAAAAGGTTCTTCAATATATGAAAGTGCAAGGTTATGTGTAAACACATGTACAATTACATTTACCTTTCATTTGCACTTTCAAATTTTTGGAAACTTTGTGTTGTTTATGAATTATGAATAACACTGAATTTTCATGTTGATAGCAGCAGGGTCATATTGTATAATTGCCCATCATGAACAAAGCATCTATTTCATTGTACGTGTACATGTTTTTGATGTACTTGCCAAATTAAAAGATGTCAAAGATGAAATTTTACAAATGACCAGGATATTATAGATCAACAGGCACAAGTATCCCCTAATCTCGCTGAGGAAACAAATTACACCTAATTTTCTCGGGAATAGGGTATTTCTCCTCTCAAAGCAATCTGCCCAGTTTCACCTGAAAACACTATATTCCGCATTCCTTGTTTAATGCATGCATGTAGTATGTACATTTGTACCTGTAAACGTGTACGGTCAAGACTGGGAAGCCATCTGTCAGATCAAGCAGCCTAACCAAAACTGTGTCACCAAATTAATGAAGCTGAAATGCACGTCATTGATTCATCAACCCAATTGCCAAATTTTCTCCTTCCGTTTCCTCCCAGAGTCTCATATACCGATAGCATGCCCGACGCAAACATCAGGGTCTCCCAACTTCCCCATCCTTCCATCAAGTCATCTCCAGCAATTTCTGACCTTTTCTGGTGAGGAGTTATCCGCTTCTCCCCCATTATCTCTAGTTCACTGGATATATGCCGTTGAAGTGCTTCTCAATGAGATCCACTGTGGAAACCCTCCCCATCAGAAAGGTCAGCTATCACACGCTGCTGCAGGACAATTCACGCCGACAACTGAAGCAGGAGCAAGACCCGGGGGTCGTCCAAATGCCACTGCATTGTTTGCAAATATCAGCATCTAAGCACTGACACTGTGTGGAGCAGGAAATGGGGGGGGAGGGGGAGTGAAGGATATGGACACTTGTGCTGTTACGGAATCTTCAAAAAAGTTGTTTTGCCAGGTGATAAACAACTGGTTCACATACATGTACCAGTACACTGTTCACATACATGGACCGTACATACCGGTATGTACCTGCAGCAAGTTTTGTGCATACAGTTCATGCGTGCTGAAGATTGGCTCTTAAACTACTTGCAGTAGATTTACAATGTATGTCCCTCCTACAATGGAAACGCTTGATTGAAGAGATTGTTAGACGGCTGGTTTTTCATCCATCTCTACAGTGAATGCTTTGTATTTAGAGCAGAATTATGTACGAAATGCCATATTCCCAGTTTGGTTAATAAAGGAAAACATCTTTAGAACAGTGAAGCCGGCAGGAATGTCAAAGTTCTAGGAACAAAAAAAAAATCAGTTTGGGGTATCCTCTTGAACAGAACTCAGCTTACAGCAACAAACCTTTTTGTGTATATGTAGTCAAGTGGAGTTGCAAACCAATTTCAACTCCTTTTTACCACCATGCATGTGGTCCTTAAAATGTTTAAATGAAACTGACCGAAATTCAGATGCTTTCTTTACAGAAGCTAACAGATCCTATCACGGAGTAAATCCCAGGGATGTGGGATATATTACACCCCTTACATTTTGACAGGGGGGATGGGCTCTCAAATCATCTCCCAGCTTTTTGTGATGAAAAAAAAAGGGCAGATTTTGATGATTTTTTTTTTTCTTCCCAATAACTTAAATTTATTCTATATTACCAAAAAGGAGAAGAAGCACAAAAGTTTTAAAAAGCCTGCTTTTAAATGAAGCTACACGGTGCCATGAACAATGGCCCTGAGTCATGTGGTGCCCATTAATCCCCTCCAACCTTTTCAAATTTTCATGGCGGGGCAACTTTTTGGGGGGATTTTAAGTCATCCTCCTTCTTTGTACTTCATCTCTGAACATTCAGATCATTGGCGGGGTAAATTTTTGAAGGTTTAATTTAACAGTTGGAAATACCTGTACTGGTACTGGTGCCTACTCGTAGCATACCCGGACTGCACTGTCTGGCATGGGACACGTGCATAAATTTGGTAGGTGCGATGATGAAGCTGACAAAATCAAACGGTGGGTGCACGTACACATGTACACTTGGCAAGTAATCACATGTAAAATCATGCCCATGTGTAAATCAATGCCAAAGGAACACCTGTTACAAAGTGTTAGTGTATTGGAAGGTGTCCATCCACACCCTGCATGTATGCATTTCAGTTGCATATTGCCAATATGAAACAGGAGTACGATCAGTGATGAGCAGGGTATAACAAAGTGCTGATCGAATGCTGTTTTTTACTGCGATCTCGTGTTCCTGAAATACATGTAGCTTGTATACATCTGTGCAGCATATATGTACATGTACATACGTCATGACCACACACATGTACATGTACATAGTCATGACCACACCATAACCACAAGGTGACACTTAAATCCCACATACGGCACGTTCTCTGCTTCTCATTCTCAGCTTGCCTGGGCAAGTGCGATAGTATACTCAGCATGCCAACAGTTGCCATGCTGAATCCAAATCAAACTGGATTCTGTGGAGTCAAATCTGCATTTAGTTGACATTTTTCATTTTTTTTGGGTCAAGTTTTCAGACTGCTACCGGTACTCATGACCACTCTTGAACCTTTCACATTCCCAGGATGAGCAATCTTGAACAATTTACGCCGAGTGACATTCCCTTTGTGGAGAGCTGTCAATCACCTTGAGGACTTGGCGGGAGACAGATTTTAAAATACAGCCCCTGCAGGGGTTCACAGATCAACCAGCATGACCAGACAGAACAAATTTATGACTGTATACCCACCTACAATGTACATGTACATGTAGGTTACAGTGTCACTGCCTGAGGCCTGGTCGTCACAGCATCATGGTGCTGTGTACCACAGTAGGCCTCAGTTTGCTGGGCTCCTTTAATTTTGGATAGCAGAGGAGTCTGAGAATCATTGTTACAGAACAGCATGAGCTGATAATTGCCAACTCTACTTGTCAGATTTTCTCTTCTTGAAACAAATCAAATAAAGGAAACACATACCGGTACATGTGATTGTAATTCCACACAGAAGTGGAATTGGTCACATGTTGCTATTACTGACCATGAAACGAAAGAAGTTTTAGTCAAAACATGAA